TTAATGCGTGTTATTATAGTACTTGTTGGTTTTCAAAATAATATCTATATAAAAAATAATTTAAAGTAAAAATAAAATTTAAAATTTTTAAGTTGGGATAAAAAATAAATATGCTTTCAATACTTGTTTGAAAGCATGATAAATGATATTTTTTAATATGTTTTTGGTTTAAAATGCATATAAATGTTTTTTAATTTATTTTTAATATTAACATGTTAAAATAATACATTAAATTTTTTTAAAAAATTAATTAATTGCACTACCACACATACCATTAATAGAAAAACCATGTTTTGATTTTAATGGAGTCATCGTGATTACATAATCGACAAAGTTGCGGAGAATTTGATTTCAAGTAATTTTATACGTGAACAGCAACTTACTAGTCAGACTACAGAGCATGAAATTATATAAAATTACATTAATTAATTATTTGCCTGTCATCACTTGTCCTCACCGGGAATTTGGTCCTTAAGCACCTGGAATTCCCCTTTTCACGGAGACTAAGGAAGAACCCCCTCGGTGAGCAGCCGCGGCTGTTTACGGCATATTTTTAAGGATGATTATGGTTATTTTTTTAAATGATTTTTATGTTAAAATATATTTAAATAATATTTTTTTAAAAAATTATTTTTAAAACCAATATATAAAAATAATTCAAAATATATAAAAACCAGTATATAAAAATAATTCAAAATATATAAAAAATTATTTTTAAAAAAAATATTATTTTTACCGCTTTTCCAAATATTCTCGAATATCACAATGCTTTTTGTCATTATTGTTTAATTATGTTATTGAAAATTTTTATTTTTATTTTATATTATTTTAATGTATTAATATTTAAAAAATAATTTTAAAAATAAAATAAAAATATCATTTTAATATACTCTTAAACAACAACCACCTAAAAAATAGAAAAAAAAATTATAATATTTCTCGTTGTCGTAGATAGCTATAGAATCACCAACCAGTCTTGGTTGAAAACAACTGTCCACGAAACTGACAAACGAGGAAATTTAAGGACAAAATAATACATGGCAACAAGTTAAATATCATGCTATCCAGAGCAATATTTTATTGGCATGGGGAGCATATAGTATTTTATTTCCAAAGGAAGTTTATTCGCACTTTTCCCAGCTGAAAAGGAAAGAAAACCCGAAGAAAACGAACATCCTCGAAATGGCATTAACAGCTAGTAAAAGGCCTCATCGCTATGGAATGTACAAAAATAAAATAAAATCAGAGAAGATAAAAACTTAATGACTAGGATTGTCTTTAATTCCTTAATTAGTTCCAACATGGATGGTTTGTCTGTCTTGGACTAAATAAAAAAGACGGTTTCAACTAATTTCTGTCATAGATAAAATGATTCCATGATGATTGCCACGTAAACAAAAAAAAAGAAACAGTTTGCTGTAAAATGTCAAGGGAAAATCACTAGCAGCCTCAGCGACAATAGTTAGTGAGTGATTAGAGATTAGTAAGAATTATTACCAGTGGATTAGAAACTAGTTACAGCATTGTAATGATACTTCACTTTTACTTAAAACCTGACAAGTTTTTTTTTTTTTCGCAATTTCGTCGTTGAAGCCTTTGATTGGTTCTAAACTCTGCTCTCAGTGATTGCCTGAAAGAAACGTACGATTCCATGACCGAGGGCTGGCGTCCACCTGCACCAGATCACTCCATGCACATGTTTCGCTACCAGTCAAGATGAGATGATGACTCATGAGCTAATAGTCAACCATGCTTCGAGGATGCTGATGGGCCTCGGTGGGATGCCTGCCATCATTTGAAAAGTCAGCTGGCACCTTTTTTGGCAAATATTGTTATTTTTTATTTTAAATTATTTTTTATATAATGATATCAAAAATAAATTTCTAAAAATAAAAATTACTGTTTTAATATATTTCTAAATAAAAAAATAATATATATATATTTTTTATTTTTTAAAATTTATTTTTAATATCATCAAATAAAAAAAACTACCCACAATATTCCTTAAAAAAACAGGCTACGGTTGACGGTTGAGTAGTAGCTGAACCAAAGATTCCAAGAAAACAGGAATTTTTAATTATATTACCAGGCCTTTTTTTAAATATAAAAAAATAGAGCCCCGGCAGCTACTTCCCTGTATATAAATATATCATAGGAGGTGCAATCCCATGTCACAACATTGACAGACTCTTTGTTTATCAGAGACCAGGAACTCCTTTCTGTGTTTCTCTACAGGGGCCATTTTTAACCCTTCTTTTATGTTTATAAATCTCTGATAGGCAAAAAAAAGAGAGATTATTTATATAAAAAGAAGCAAGCATGACTGTTTCAGCAGTTTCCCCTACAATCAAGAGTCGAGTCCTCATTGCCGGAGCAACCGGTTTTATCGGTCACTTCGTGGCCGAAGCCAGCTTAGACTCCGATCGAACAACCTATGTTCTTGTCCGGCCAGGTGTTGCTACATGCCCTTCTAAGGCCGAAGTTCTCCGATCTCTTCATGACAAGGGAGCCATCATCTTGCAGGTATGTCTCATAGGTTCAATTTAAAGTGAAAAGATATTAAATTTCTTTGATTAATTAATTATCTTATACCTATCTGCTTATTTTTCTTCCTTTGATCACAGGGGCTGATCAGTGACAGGAAAAACATGGAGAAAATACTTAAAGTTCACGAGATTGATGTTGTAATATCAGCAGTAGGAGGGGACAATGTACTGGACCAGCTTGCCCTGGTAGAAGCTATCAAGGCCGTCGGCACCATCAAGGTAGAAATAATGTTTATCTAAGGTGATCCAGTTTTCATTATGATATATAGAATAAAAATAATTTCGAGAGAGGAAAATATAAGGAGTCAAATTCATTACTAATCGGGTGTTTATTCATGTTGCAGAGATTTTTGCCATCAGAATTTGGGCATGATGTGGTGAGGGCTAATCCAGTGGAGCCAGGGCTGCAAATGTACAAAGAGAAACGTGAAATTAGACGGTTGGTCGAGGAGTATGGCATTCCCTACACCTATATCTGTTGCAATTCAATTGCTTCTTGGCCTTACTATGATAACAAACACCCTGCTCATGCTCTGCCTCCTTTGGAACACTTCAAGATCTACGGAGATGGCACCGTTAAAGGTACGTCGGTCTGCAACTTCTGTTTTTCCGGCCACCGGAATGGATTTAGTTTCCTTTCTTGGCGAGGATATTCTGACGACTAATATAGAACAGCTAAAAAAGCCTCGCCTAACTTATCATTAAAGACAATAACAACAATAAAAAAATCTTCTATGACTTGTCATCAATAATCTCAAAACCATATCTTAAGGAAACTATCTATTCCCTGATGCACGGATACATACAAGTAGATTCAAAATCTTACTACGTTTCTTCAGATCTGCAATGATAATATGAAAAATATATTCACTTATCAGTCAAATTAAACCCTCATGAGTTGTGACGTGATGGGAGCAAAAACGTAACAATGATGTTATTTATGTGAGAGCTCACGAGATTTTCTATGGAGCTTGGCAAAATGCAATTACCCACTTTTCGTGAAATAAGCGAGAAAAAAATGATAAATAGAATTTGACTAAGAGCTTGTAATGGAAAAAAATAAATCTAATAATTGTAGTGGATTTCATGAAAAGAAAATACGGGGGCTTGTATTCAGTAATGAAATAAGAATAACTATCTATCATGATTCATGCAGCTTACTTTGTTGCTGGCACTGATATTGGGAAATTCACAATGAAAACTGTGGATGATGTGAGAACTATCAACAAGTCAGTCCATTTTCGACCTTCCAACAATTTCTATAACATGAATGAGCTTGCTTCTTTGTGGGAAAAGAAAATTGGAAGAACCCTCCCTCGAGTTACAGTCACTGAACATGACCTCCTTGCTATTGCTGCAGGTCTTTCTTCTAATTTTCTATTTCTTAATTTCCATGATCTTATTAGCATATACATATTTAATTTTAAATATTACAAGTAACAAAATGGCGCTGGAAGTTATTATTATTATTTTTTTTCATTTGACAGAGAATATCATACCAGAAAGTGTAGTTGCATCATTCACACACGATATATTCATCAAGGGTTGTCAGTTTAATTTTTCAATCAATGGCCTTGATGATGTTGAAGTGGGAACTCTATATCCTGATGAACCTTTCCGTACCTTGGATGAATGTTTCAATGATTTTGCTCTCAAATTGAAGGACAGCAATAAGGATGTAGGCAGCAATGGAAATGCTACTCCAAATCATGTGATTGAATCGCTGGCTATATCAGAGCCCCGTGTTTGTTTGTGTGACGAAAAGATCAGTCTTTTTGCTGGAATATAGGGTCTTGTAGAAGAATGGCAGAGACACTTGTGTGTGGAGAGAAGTGATTCAATAATGTTGTGCGTCAATACCCTTTGGTTGTCTGTTTCACCTGGATTTCCCATGATTTGCTCAAACAGTAATGGTTTAACCTCTATTTACCTATTATTATCTTATATCCATGTGGCATGGCATTCAAATGATGTAGTGGGTCAGATCAGGTGATTTTTTATAGATAAATTGGCATGCTCTGTTGGTTTTTTCAAAGTGTAATTTCTGTCATTTTGGGGCAGCAACTGGCACACAAAAACATAAACTGACAAGGATTCGAGTCTCCTTGTAACCCCAGGTTAAAAAAAAAGAGAGTAAAATTTCTCCTCGAAACAACGTTTTTCCCAACTCATCAAATATCCTTTAAACGAGCATACAGGCAGTGCAGGAGTGAAATCTGCAGGTGAGTTTTCAATTGCTGTGCCATTCACCTGAATGCAATTGCAGAAAACTAGACGGACCAAAAACTGAATAATACTCGATGCACATGAATCATGATCTATGCTTTTCGTGATTTATTTCTGGTGATGATTTTCAGTTGGAGATGTTACAGCTAAAACAACTACATGCATTCAGACATACATACGGCATCCATTTGGAGCACCATATACCACACCCAAAAACAAGAAAAAGGCTATAAAAAATGTGCTTTCATAGCTCATCAAATCTGTCAGAATATTTACAGTTCCTGGAAAATGATACAAAACTACTGTGACATGGGAATCGAAGACGCCAAAATTGTAGATTCTCAGTGCGTGCTCCATCTAAAACCACAAGCAGCAAGGGATCTTTCCTTCACATATACACATGTCATGGATACAATTGGAACTACACATCATATACAGACAACTGCACCTCATTGGTGACGAGGTAGATTGGGCAACTTTTACTCTTCTGCAGCAAGTGGTGAACACAAATTCAAGAAGATATTAACAAAAGGAATAAATACATATAAACAGGTTTTTCATTCTTTTTTTTTTTAACAAGCAATACAGAGTTCTTTTACCTGTGCAAGGCATGAATAACAATTTTGAAGGCAAAGCTTCACCCTCAATGAAAAGCTTTCTCATCAATAAACTTAGTTCTTTTATTTTTCATTCAGAGAAGTGTACTGTTTGAAGTATCAGCAAATATTGGTAAGAGAAAGGTGGATCCCCATACCTGAAAAGGGCACGGTGCCTGCATGGAAGCAGGACCACATTAATTTGTCCTTTGAAACAAATTCTACATAGAATTTTGTCCTGATAGATTCATTAAATCAGCACAGGGAAAGCCATAATACAGCATTGAGAGCATGAATGGCATCACAAAGATTAGTGTGAGCATAGAAGACAACTAGGCTGTTCTGAAAACTAATTGAAGCCTTTTATACTTCTGGCTAAATTCTATAATTTCTGTTTGCTCAATGAGTAAAGCTTGTAATCTCCGAATATGATGATAAAAAAGAAATGAGGAGTTAAAGTTGTATTTTTTATGAAGAAAGAGCAGAATTAAGTTGCAGAGTGTGGATAGATACAAACAATCTAAAACTTGGGCCTTGTTGAACAGGCAAAACTGTTTGAACCTCATGAACAAGTTCAGATTTGGGCTGCTTCTTCACAATTTCTGCTGGGAAGGTGTTGTAGCTGAGTAATAAAGATAGAAGGAATGGTTATAAAAGTTATAACTTGCAATAACTTCTGTGATCTACAAAGAAAGTATGCACAGTATGTACAGTGCACTATATTAATTATCTACTGGAAGCACAAATTATATTAAGAAATTGCAAGGCAAGATAGCTTCTCTAGTGAGAAAAGGCACCGGCCTTTATATGGATGTCAGTCAAGAGTGACCAGCATTTAGTTAGGGGTGACCTGAACGCTGGCAGCTCATGGCTGACATTAGGCCAAGCCAATTTTCCATGGTCAAACAGTGCTTGTGACCGAATGTCAGTTGACATCTGGTTGAATCTGAACTAGTATAAAGGCGGTGCCTTCAAAACTTTGGCAAAGGGCAGTGCAGAATTTGCCTGCATGGAAAATGCACTCATGGTTTTAGTCACAGTTGCAAGTGTAATTTTGAAGGTGTCACATAATGGTCACAAAGAATGATTGACAGGGCTTGGGTAGTTGTGGGACGACTATACCTGCGGTGGTGGTTTGGTATGGGAAGGGACAACCCTCCCAGCCACCCACCCCCCACCATACACATTATTCACCACCAAGCTCCGCAACCACACGTTGACAGATTTTAGCAAATTGTCTTCTACATACAGATTTTAAATGGTTTTACTACAAATGGCAACAACAAACCTTTAATCGAATAAATACCTCGTATGAATGAAAAATGCGGTGTGTGTTATCTTAGTATGTGATCAGCATTTTAGTAATCTAGCATAATAATGCACAAAAGAAGAGATTGTAGCAATCTTTAGTAAGAAAAAACCCTTAAAAGATTTGAATATTTTCGAGTGTAATGGTGTGATTCCAGGATCATGGCCCCGTAACACCAGATGATGGAATGGGACCTTCCAATCCTATTGCGCCACAGATGAAAGCATTCATTACCATAGCATAATACAGAGCACTGATACCAAAAGTCGATTGGTTGGACCAACATATCCTTTGACATACCAATGCACATTTTGAAACCTTGAAAGGCCGGAAGAGGAAAAGACCCGTGAGAGTAGGAGTTAGAATTTAACTGCCTAGCAAACCCTTAAAAGTTAAAACACTGTAAGTGCTCTCGACATTTAACTAGCCAGCAACAAGAGAATGTATGCAACAGATATCTTCTGTACTCCTCGTGACTGTGCTGTTCATAAAACAATTGCTAATGCAATTTCTCCTCATTCTTTTTGCATATTTCACGACCATATCCTCCATTATCTCGAGATATGTGTGTGCATGTCCAGTTTGTTCATGTTATACAAAGTGTGTCCCGTTTATGATGCCACTCTGAATATATTAAATGGGGTTTCAATGATTTCATCTCAAGACCTATAAGGTAAAAGGAAGGACAGGCAATAATGGACATAGATGTCCTTGGAAACTTCAGAGAAATTATTATGCCTCTCTGGTTGCGCCAATGAATGTAAAAAATTCTATTAAAAAGACACTAGAGTAGCATAGAAAACATACCCTGAACCTCCAGCACAATAAATTCTAGCCCACTCCTTCCCACTACCTTCATCGATTGACCATCACCCGAGTAACCTGTCATAAGCAATGATTACTGCTTCATAAATCCAGCAATTCAGTGCTGGCAATTACTGGTTCACCGGGCCATTCAAATTTTATGTGCACCAAGAAAAACCTTACCTGGATCCATTGTGCAAAAATCCAAAATAATCTTGAGCATTTGATGTGACGGCAAAGTATCTACCAGAACAAGCTCCACTGTTTAGTTTTCTCCACCAATCTATATACAGCAAAACCCCAGCTCCTTGGATCAAAAAAGGTGGAGCAAAGGATTAGACATGGAATATGTTCAGCACCAGGTGATGTTCCCTGAAAATGAAGGGGATAAAAAATAAAGATGATTTTAATGCGAGCCTAACTTGGACAAATTAGGATGATAATACATCACAAGGCACACTTCAACACCTATAGTACCTCCAAGCGCATGAAAAGCAAGATCTGGAAACCAATAACAGGAGCTTTCATAAGTGTCCACCGATGTCCTGAGGGCTGCATATTCCATTGATCTGATGCTCTTCTTCATGATGAACTTGGTCCTCCATTAAAAGAAATCAAGAATGCTTATGAATTACTTGATTATACCACTTTGTGCAGACTAGAAAGGCAAAGCGCTCTGCAATGCTGTAAGGAGAGTCGTTCGATTCTTACAACAAGCAATAACATGAAAAATCAATACCAACTTCAAACTATTGAGGTTTCTGTAAATAGAAAGGGGTGATGATACCTGTAATTTGAAACCAAGTCCCACCAACCAAGAACTACCAAATCACCTGCAAGTAGCAAACACAATTTCATAAAAAAATGAATACAACACAACATGGCAGAACTTCTGTGCTTTCTTCATCTCCAATCATTAAAGCTCTACACGTCCTAAAACACAAAATCATGAAAAAGAAGAAGAAGAAGAAAATGCTTACTAAGTAAAAAGAAGAAGAAGAAGAAGAAAATGCTTACTAAGGGTTACTTCTGTGCGTGTGAGTGGCTCAAACTACAACTTGGAGCAACATTATAATTCGATCCCGGAATCAACTCGTCCCATGCGGATGATCAGATCCTTTCACCGCCGAAGCACCTCCCCCTCAAATGTGACTGCCATATGGTTGATTAAATGACCGTGTCATTTTTATTATGTATATATATAACCGCTACATGGCCTTTTAGCTCAGTTGGTTAGAGCGTCGTGCTAATAACGCGAAGGTCGCAGGTTCGAAACCTGCAAGGGCCATGGTTAACTATTTTCAATTTTTACCTTACTCTGGTGGGCAAGCTATTCCAAAACAAACAGAACAGGGCTCCAAGTACAACCTGGGTCTTCTGAACGCATCTCGTTTGTAGTGAGAAATAAGTGTACAGGTATATTTGTTTTTGTATTTAAAAAATATATTTTTAAATTTTAAATTATTTTAAAATACTGATTTTTTTTTGTATTTAAAAAATATATTTTAAAATTTTAAATTATTTTAAAATACTGATTTTAAAAATATTTTTTTGAAAAGAATATTATTTTAATATATTTCTAAATAAAAAATATTTTAAAAAATAATTAATACAGTAATTCTAAAATGAGATTGGTAACCCCAAGTCATTTTATCTCCATAACACTTCATGATCTCCTCTTAATTTATTCATATTCATGTGCAGATCCGAAACTCTATTTGTAGCAGGTTATCTAAAAAAGAATTAATACTAGTGGATTAAACTTCTGTTCACATCTACAATAATAAGATTTACAAGCGAGGAGGTTTAACCCTAATTAGTCGTTAGTGTTATCAAAATCGCATTTTAACTTATAAAACGTGCGTTGTTTAATTCTTATAAGCTTGGACGATTGGATCGCTAATCTACAATTTTGGACCATCAAGCCATGGAAATGGAAGTATAACCAGTTGTTATGTTGATGTTTTGCAAGTGTCTTTGCCTGTACACTGTCTTCCCACCATTGACTTGATTTTCTTTTTAATATGCAAAGCCTATGTTCCTGTTTGTTTAACACTTGGATTGGTAGGGGCTAGTTCCCTTGAACATGCAGGTAATGTTTACCCTCCAAATGCCAACAAGTAGATAGTTAAATTAATTTAACCTCCCATTCCTTTTCTTTTCTTTTTTTTCATTCTCAAAAACCATATCTAATTAATAATTTGATCACGGCTAGTATGGTAGTTATTCTCTCTTTTTTACTAACAATTTACCCCTCAACTTATTAACAGACTAAATATCCTAATTGAAAATAATTTTTTACACTTTAAAGAATTATTCTTGTGATAATTATTTATGTTATTGCTGTTTAAATTGGATAATCCGGCTCTTGCCTCCACGAGAATTAAGGCCTAAAGGCATTTTCATTGGTAAAAGTTATTTGAAAGAGCTAAATATAGAATTTTGAATAGTATAATTTAGATTTTTTTTTAATCATGCTGTACTTCAATGGAAAATGGTTTTTTAACGAGCTAGTTTATGTTTTACATAAAATGAAGAAAGAGAAAGGAAGAATTACAAAACAGTTAAAAATTTCCATTATTTTATAACTTTCCTCAAAAAACACAGAAATGCATTTTTATTTTTGACAAAGAAAATTTTATATATTCCATATATTAATTCCATTGAAGACCCAAAATTAATAAGAAAAAAGCCATTTTAATAGTTAATTTTTTTGGTTGTTCATAAATAGCTATCTCGTTAGAGATGCTCGATCGGGGGGCTATCATGCCATCTTTAAAACCTCCAAGGTTGAATAATCTAACTTCTTATGTTGAAATATGGATCAGACCCATAGCATTTTACTTCGTGAAAAAGCCAGTTTCCACACAGCTGCAAAACAACATTGGTGCATATGGGTTAGATTTTTATTTATAATTATATTAAATGTGTTATATACATCATAATTTAGTCACATACAAAAACGAGAAAATTTACACTAACACCATTTCACAAAAGTGCCCGTATATAGAGATGTGGAGGGTTCTCTGAAAAAGAAATCTAATTATACTTACAAAACATGCTTCAATTCTGATAGTGTATAAAAAGTGGATTTGGTTAATTTTGATATATATAATAGTGAATTTAGTTTAGTAAGAGAACATGACCTGATAAATCTCTCTCTCAATCTCTCTAAACTCTTCTAGCATGCAATTTTATGTTGCTTAAGCTTCTTTCTATAGTTTTATGGATCCCCATATGATTTATGTTTTTTTTTAAAAAAAAATATGTTTTTAAGCTCTGATTCATGCAGTTTTTTAAATATGTTTTTAAGCTCTGATTCATGCAGCGGGGATATCTTCTAATAAGTTGTTTCCCTTTCTCTCTTCAAAGTGACATTTTTCCCCCCTTTTGTGTTTATCTCTTTTAAGCGTGAGATTTACCGTGTTTATGAAAAAAATCAATTAAAAGAAACATTAAGTAATTTATAGGACTGAAATCTCTTAACCATCGATACCCAAATAATGACTTAGATTTCACAGATGATAAATCATACATAAGGGGAACCAACCCAACAAAATTATAACGGTATGTAACTATTATTTTTGCATGCCTTGCTTATTAGGGCAATGATTCTTGAGCTATGCATATTTTCGCTAGTAATGCTCATATAGAAGATTCGAAATTATAATATTTGAAACTGAAACTCTATACATGTAGACTAACACTCTAACGTCATATAGACTCTTTGATATTGGATGTGGTAGCAGAAGTTATAGAAAAGGGAGGCAACAAAAACTCTCCACATTAATTCCTTCATTACCCATTCAAGTAGTTGAGCTTAGCCATAATTGGGCAAACCATTCGACCATTGTAACTAGCACAAGTAATTTCATAAACTTCCTTAAATTAACGACAACAGTTAAAGAGTTGAAAGAAAAACACAGTAGGAGAAGATAGATGGAAGTCAAACACGTTAGTATTACGTACCAAGTGTATGTACTTTCCCTACATATATGGCTAAATGATAAGTTCATTAACTTACTATCCATCTTGTAACCCACAGGACATGAATGCCGCACTAGGGTTTTTCAATTTTTTCTGTTTTATTTTCCCTTCCCCTTGAGAAATTTAAACAAGATCGGGGGAAGACTGATGCAACAATGTACTGACAGGAAGAAGAAAGAGGTTGTGGTGGCTGTCAGGAGGCACGTACGTAGAGCAGGGCGGGAAAAATATCGTCACCTATCATATATATATATATATATATATATATGACGATCCATATATTCCACGAAACTGACGACAGAAAGAAAGAATATAAACTAGCTAATATAATTTGTCAGCAAGCAAAAGATCTTTTTCGTTGGAAGAGAAACCTTATATTGAATCCTAACAAGGAAAAATATATATATATGGACCATATATAGCTTCCTTTGATCCCATGGTTTGAATACAACTTTGAGTGCATGCATCCTCCTCTCTGCCAATATTTTCTTTGTTGGCTAGTGCTTGCCCTTCTCGATCCTCTCTGTGTGATTTCTCTCCCATTCCTTTTTCTCAGCAGAACCACCCGACAGCAAAATGGGAGGGTAACCCCACCAAGTACGTACCAATTAACCCATATAATCCACGCTCTCTTTAATTCTCTCGCTATCTACCGATACTATATTTTGTAGTGATGTAAGTCCAAAAACACACACCAATATACCATCATTGCCTTCTTTGTTAACTGGCAAAAACTACACCAAACACACCAAAAAAAACACACCCACAAGCAAAGAAAAAAAGAAGGGAGAGGCATTAGAGGAGTAAGGTACTGATCTCTTAGTAAAATTATAGAGACCTGTGCTGCTGCTGCTGTTGTTGTTCAAGAAGATTGATATTGGTTCTCTGTCTCTTAACACTTCCCGAGGAAGACTCATCACCTCCAGTCTTCTCCATAACTGCTTTCAATGCTTCCTGAATCGAACTTATAGAATATTGTAGTGGTTCCTGCTGCTGATGTTGATCATTGCTATCACTTGATGAATCTTCTTCACCACTAATAAACAAAACATTCTTTACACGTCCACCAAGTGTTGTGATCTCAGCTTTTAATGTTCTTAAACGTAAAGCTTTCAAGGTCTTTATTAGATCAGGCAAGAGATCAGGCCTGTCTTCACAGCAAAGTGATGCTTTGATCACAAACTTACCATCTTCATCAGCCGTATCCACTGTTAGCTCATCCATTTCTGTTGGTACTGGACTTGTTTCAGCTATCAAAGTAGTCTGGCGTTTAAGCTCTTTAACATGTTGGATCACTTCTGCTAGCAGTGAAGCTTTGTCTGTCTGTGACAAGCAAGGGAACATAATCAGATGTTTCATGCATGGTAACGTTGGTACTCATCAAAAACAAACAAAAAATTAAAGCACGAAATCAAGCTATAATTAACGATCTTTTGTATGTTAAAAGAGAAAGTAGTAAAAATAAATTATTACATGCAAAAACTGTCTTTCGGTGTTCGAAAAGAAGAGATGTGGATATGAAGTTTTTATTCTCTTAGGATGATTCAGGCAGGCATGAAAGTAGGTTTTTCTAATGGTGGGGTTTTGGAAGAGGATTAGGGCACGGGCTATCTATAAGTGACTGACAAGAATGCTAGTTTTGTCTGTCTTTATATCTTTTCATTCTCTACTTAATTACTTTGACTGGAAACCGGCAAGAAATTTCCATGGAAGCTTTTCAACTGCTCTTTTGTTCATCTTTATCATATCAATTTAGCGACATTAACGTTTATTCCCTTTTAGTTTTGCTTTTTCTTTCCTCGGAACTAGCGCAAGTCCCAGAAGCGGAATACACAGAGAAAAGAAAAAACAATAGTAGCAGTGTTCTAAAGATGAAAACAAAAGGATAAGCTAACCAAGAAAAAATGTAACTGCCTTTCTTATATCTAAAGTGAGTTCCACACGTTCTGGTGCGCATATTATCAGACCAGTCATCTAACTAGAATCTTTAGCAAGTTCGACAGAGATCTTCAAAAAAAAAAAACTACTATTAGTTGTACTGCAAAACAAACAGGAAATAGAAAATTGACATTCCATATTTCTGCATTTAATATAAATAAAGAGCATATAGTTTTATTTAAGGGTTTGATATATATATATATATATATATAT